GATTCGACATCAAGAAACATAACGATTGTTGGTGTGTAATGAGTATAGCGAGCGTAGAGATGTGAACATTGCATCCAAGACTTGACCAAATACCAGCCTGTTTCTCGCGAATCAGTCGCGTCTTTTGAACGATCGGCGCATTTTAACGGAGGCCAATAGTCTGGGCAGTCGTAAGTAGACTTAACCTAGTGATAAGTGTTGCTTATATGATGTGGACTTTTTCAAAAACGGGAATAACTGTCACTTTATACCATGACGTTGGAACACCCTTTAATATCCATATTTCTGAAACAACCAAGTCAGTTTTCTATCCATGAGTTTTCCACCATCCTTGAAATGTGTCAGGTGTATATCCATTAGGCTTAGTGATTTATGTCGCCTCAAAAATCACTGTTTTCTGACATATTCCTCCTCTTTAGATTGATTGGTCGTCACCGGTCATGAAGGACAGGATACTTTGATGGAAGATGGTTGAGCAGTAGAAAAGTTGCATTGGTCCTCGTAGAACTTACTCTACGTCCGAGACTTTATGTGTTATTGATTTCCGTCTCATCATCTTCACAGAACGCCTTACTCACAATGGGCTGTCTTTATCACTGCTCCTTTCAATCCGACCACCAAGTTTCTCTGTATTTACCTGAATTAAGCATAATTCCATGACTTAATAATCTATGTATATCATCAAACACACTATCAGTAAGAGTAATCGTAAGGAGCCTACTTAACCAATGCCTATAAGCAGGGGGTTTCTCAGGACTGCAAGCAATTTTACTAACCGATTTCATGGCGTCATGAAAACACGACTCACACTACCCAGTAAGCTGATAGCTAGACTAAAACTAAGGTCGATCGCAGCCACAATCAATTTATCTACAACGCTTTATTTAGGACAAGATGCTTGATGACCGCTAAAACGTAGAATGAGATTGATGCAAACTAGGTTATGATCAAATTTCAGATGGGTAATTCGAAAAGAGTTGTTTTCATGTACAACGCCAAATGCAGCTGACTGGAACCTGATCAATCCAAGTCCGGGTTGGAAATGATAAAGGAGGGTGCCAAAAGTAGTTGCTGATCAGAAACAGGTTGGATTTGAGAATAGCTGCAGGAGACAGTTACTGCTATTTGATTACTTGATTACTTAAACTCTTAACTCATGCACTCAGATCTCTGACTAGCACTACGATATTTGTCAATCACTCTTTCTTGAGATCATTTAAGTGGCGGTAAAACTCATCGTTGATTTGATTCGGTATGAAATCAGACAGTGCGTAAGCGTAGTTAAGAAAAAGCTGTCATTTTCCTGACCGATTTCGTACTTTGGTTGAAATTTCTAATGTAATAGCGTGTTAACGACTGTTAACAGAGGTGGTTAGTGTGACACCGATGTCGGAAAAATCGGATGAAAGTGGCACAGAGTCACCGAGTAGATGGATATGAAGCAAGCTTTTCGAATCATCATAAAAAAGCAAGTCTGTTATATTTCACTAGAGTATTGAATACGCGTGACGGATATACCGTTAATATCGATATTAAGACTTTCTAAAGACACAGCTAAATGTATGTTTTCTAAATTGATGTCTATAACTGCTATATTCAGTGGTTAAAGTAAGCTGTTGAACGTTTAAATAATTGAGTGAACTCTCTTATGATTCTTGATTACACAGTTTAACGTGAAGTAAATTTTAAGATTAATTCATTCAACAAAACAGTATTTATGTTAAGATTTATTTCAAAAATAAAAACTAAATTTTTAATCATTTTATTGGGTTGGCGATAATTTATCAAATTATATTCGTTAAACTGTCCTTTTACCTGATCAGCTGATAACATATGAAACCTGACAAAACATTTAATTCAAAAACGATATATATTAAAGTATATATATATATATATATATATATATATATATATATATCATGCAAAGTCACTGATTATTCTCAGTAAGAGTATGGCGCAATATACAAAACACTGGTGAAATTGATTAGACATATGTAGCTCAATGTGCAGTGCTTCTCAAAAAAATTATGATTTATTATCCTAACATAGGCTTAGAGTTCTTTACGATTGAGAAACCAATAGATGATTCAAGAGTAGGGTATTCTTCAAAACAAATAGTTAGAATTTTTTTGCACATATCGAATGAGCTATACTGGATAACACGGTCATAGATCAGAAGAAAACCGAAGACTAAGAAACAGTTGATTAAATCAATGGCTTTTCGTTTGGGTTTTGTCACGAATTACAAACTTTGTGATTAGATTCCGCACCACAGTCGAAGATGTGATGTGACTTGTTTCAGTATTGACTCGAATACATTCATTTTCTACCTACTCATAAATCTGGAGGTTTTTCTGAAATACTTTTAGTTTCACAATCTTCTATGTTATTTCGTACCATGTTTTAATGAATTTACCATTCTATTATCATTATTGGCGTTTTGGGCTTATCTACATTTTATTTTATTAATTCCTCTCATCATTGTCCTGATACGCATTGTTACAAATCGGGTCGATGAACATTAATGTAAATCATCCAGTCACTTTTCGAAATGTACTTTTGGTTTCTTAAAGATAGAATATGAATAACTGTACTTATAGTGAGTGGCAATTTTCCACAACTGAAGACCAAATCATATGCTTGGATATTTACCCAACTGAAACATAAAAGAAGAAATTGTCTTCTCTCACTGATATCTTTTGTTGCTATTATACCAGATCACTTAGTCGCACTAGGTTGTGTAAATAAATTACAGATTTCTGTTTTAATGTGATAATTTTCAAAAAATATCCGTCCACATAAAAGTAATTAGTGCAGCTTTGCCTTAAGTAGATTGTGTTACACTGGCTTTTATTTAAAATGTCTTCTTTTTGTCACCGTTAAATATTAGTTTTTGAATACTCAAAAGTTGCCATGCATGTGACAATGAACGTGATAATTGATAATCGCTTTTCATTAGAATTAACCTATTATTTTCACACTACATGTAAATTGCACACATTCATTCACTTTATTTCAACCTACTATGATAAATAAAAGTAAGAGATGATAGGTTGATCTGCGACCCTCATTTATATCTGTGATTAGTCTCATCGGATCCAAAAGGTCTTGGTTGAAAATTCTGTTCATAAAGAAAAGTTGAGTTTATCAAATATTCAAACATTTGCCCAGACACTATAGTTTATTAACTGCTATTTATTTATGAGCATCAGTTCTGTGAGTCAATTAATAGGCTAAATATCTCATTTCAGTCCTCTTGTCGCAATGTAACATAGACTTTTGAAAACTATATGCTCATCATTAAAAATCGGTACTATACATTATTGCCTAAAATCCGTGTGTGTTTGTTTATTTTGACGGAAAACTCCTAAACAGTTTCAAACCAAGATAAAACAGCCGTTAAGCTGACATCACTTACTAACGAAATCTATCTTTAGATGAATACTAAACAATTGTCCATTCTATGATCCTCGATACTGTTAATTTCCGTTGTTGTTTTTGGTGTCTTTTTGTTTTCATTTCTCCATATTAAATTATTGAAATTTGTGAAATGTCAATCAATTATATCAAGAAATAAATGTTGAACAGGTACATCAGTGTTAAAATTGTCCATCTCTTGTAAATTCAAACCGAGTACATCCAGTTATAAAGATGTTAGAGCTTTTCTTTAACACAAATATTTCGACTACCATTCTTTTCATGTCAATTACATCATTTTTTATTAGTTGAATCTCATTTAGCGTTTGTTTTTAAAGGGATAATAATAATTAACAAAATAAAGTAGAAAAATTGTCCAGTAATTCCTACTTATGCGTATAATTCTCTGGTTAATGTAAGTGTACGACGAATTGCTGTTAGACATTTGAAGATGATCTAAAGAAAGCCTATATTTCACTTTGATTCCGTACTGGTTGGCAACCATCAACAATGCATAACATCCATTTTGAAGTGTCAGAATCTAATACCACACTATTCGGCTTTCAATTGATCACCATTAGTACAAGGATATTCGAAATGAGTGATTAATAAATATTTGAATAACAATAAGAGATTGTGGAAACTGTAGTAATTTTAATGGTTGAATTCATGAGTCTATTTAAGGTAGACCACTATTGAAAGCCTGAAAGCACTGGACGGACGTTTCGTCCTATTGTAGGAATCCTCAGCATTGCTCATCCACGATCGCGAATGTGGAACTCGGACCCAGGGTCCTCAGTCTCGCACGTGAACGCTTAATCTCTAGACCACTGAACAGGCTTTGAACGGTGTGAATATCTAAATTTAATTGATTCATAATCTTGAGCAACCCTTCACCCATTATCAGTTGTGGATAAATGTTTCCATCCAACAGGGATTGAACTCCACTGATCACGGCTTCTCACTAGAACTTCAGGAAATCCATCTTGAAGCTAGTCACTGGTGAGCACATGATTATTATCAGAATGAGGGTTTGTGGAGGATGTAGTTGCACAAAATCATGGGTTAGCTGAAGTTAGAGATTAACAACGTTGGACGCCGGTCCAGATGTCTAGATGTAACGCGTTCTCACGCGAGACAGAAGGTCTTGAGTCCGAGTCCTGCTGGCGGGATCGTGAGTGCGCACTGCTGAGGAGTCCCGTACTAGGACGAAACGGCTGTCCACTGTTTCCAGGTTTTTAATTGCGGTTTAGTTTAGATAGACTCATGATTTCAAATATTAATAAATATTTGTCATGATGTTAGGTCCTTGTTGTCGAATGAATTTTACCGATTAAGTTACACTGTATCCAATATTCTAATTTTCACTAACTTGACGTACATTAAATTATCACATGATAAAATATATTTGTCCAACTATAAACTATTTTCGGTATCAATTTCGATTTTTGAAGTCGTCTTGATCACTAAGAAACATGTTAGTTCAGTTGATGTTAATATGACTTACTATTTTTGGTTCTCATACTCAATAACTTTATTCTTGTATTATTTTCTTTCGTGATTAACCATGAAAATCCATGTAGTCAACAATTGAATTGTCACTACGCTATGAATTTCCACAAAACACGAAAGGATTAGCCAGTAAGTTCCTTTTTTTGTTGTTTTGTTTTGGAGTTTACAAGTTCCGATTTCTGTAAACAAATAATCGTATAACAGGATAAATTCTTTATATAAAGTTATGATAACTACACTTTTATGTTATTATTACAACACGGACTAACTTGACTTAGATACCCATTGAAATTCACAGAGCACTGGATAGGAAGTTTAACCCACTATCGAACTCTTCATCTCTGTGTGTACCCATGACTCACACTCAGAACTTTGGAGGCTCCTGATAAGAGTGACATATTTAGAGTACTGAGTTGTTTTTTAGTAGTTTAAATTCTCGAATCTAGTTGATCTGCGATATAGATCAACTATTGAATATACCTTCTATTTAAATACTAGTCATATGCTCAGTAATGCTTAACTTCTAGAGGTACCTCATATGTTCCAGTGTGAAGCAATGGCTAATGGAGTCTAAATACAATGGTGATGGCAGTGGATGGACGTCATGCTGTAATACCTCAAATTTACTGAAGTTAAAGATTTGAACGGTTGGCTGATAATTGAGCGATCTTAAAGCAACACACTCACTGAGTCTTGAACGTCTTGTAGAGTTGCGGGTACTCACTGCTAAAGAAACCCATGTTAGGAGGAATTAACTGTTGGTCCATGATGTAACCAAACTTCAAATGAGGCAAATCAATAATTCTTCTATAAAATAATCTTTTAAACTTGTATTTTTAATATAATGAATAATATAATTATATTTTACCATAGTAATCGATAGTAATAAATCCATATTACAGCAAACAGGTCTAAATTTTTTGTAACTTTTTAATATGCAGTAGTTTTGATCCACCAACCAATTGATCAATATTTTTCGAATGATTAATTTTATCTAATAAAATGTGACTCGATCGTTGTTTTTCTCTCATTCTCTCTCTCTCACTCACACACACACAGATACGCCATATTTTTATATTTATTTGATAATTTCACTATTTATTTACTCATGATATCATTAGTGAACATATAAAGTAATATTTTCAATCGTGTCTCAAAGTCTAAAATGTTATAGATAGTTTTATATATACGACTTATGAACACATTTTCTCTGAACACCTATACAAATAATTAGTTTGTATCAGTTTGAGTTATTGTTTTTTAGATTTATAAAGCTTGTTTATAGATTGCCACTCATTCAATCAATCATCCAAAGCCAAAGCATTCAGGCATCAAAATACATGTATTTCACATTGACGAGCGCGTATACTGAACGATCTGGCTATCTCCAGATTCTGATAGATTCAATTTTACTCTTTTCACTACTCAGAAAATAAGAACGAGATAATGCGAGAATCGTAAAGCCCCATAAAAAATTATAGAAAGTAAAAGTTCGAAATAAGTAGTGTCTGGTTTTTTTTTCTAAATTTAACGACCCACACAATGTGTAATTGCATCTGCACCCGAAAATATTGAAAACGTTTAAGAAGTATGTGTTTAGTATAACCTGTCCGAGACAGTTTTCTCATACGGTAATTAGATGAATTATGAAGCCTAAGACTTTCCAAAGTATCAGACAGATTTATGAATTCATCAAAAGTTATAGTTCAAGAGAAATATATCATGTTATTAATCTACACAAAACTATGAATTATTTGTGAATCCAATCATTTTGATCTACCTTAGAGAGTCCAACTATTCTATCACATTTGAAAGAACATTGGATATTCTAGGAAATGCAAATATATTTATTTGGGGAGTTTACTGTCAACTAAAATAAATCAATGCTTAGTATTTAGAGTGACGAAATCATTATACACTAGTTTATTTATTTTCAATCACTGTCAGTAAGTTCAGTGATCTGATTGATACGCAAATGGACTAAAAGTATTTTTAATTTGTTTAAGAAGATAATAGTAAAATTAAAGTTTGAAATCTTTGTCCTTCTCGATTTTTAAAGCAGTAGTGGAGTTCATCAAATTATTTAATTCTTAAAGGTTTGTATTATTTCATTCTCAGTTCTCATCATATTTCGTCCTAGTATGAGACTCCACAGTAGTGATCGTCCGTAACACCAACAGGGGTCAAACCTAAAAGCTTCAGGTCCCGGTGTTTCCAGCCTTCCGACGGTTGTTTAATTAAGATCAGTCTGTAATGTTAAGTATTATCATTTATTTTCAAAATTTTCAATATAAAACTATAATTAATGTTGGCGTTAGGATTAAAGTTCTGTACTTATGAAAAAAATTGCAGACCTACTGAGAAGTATAACATGATGCATAAAATGAAAGATATTTACACATGTAGAGATATGTAAATCATAACGTCTCTGTATGTCACTGGTTAAATGCAAATAAAATGCAATCCATAAGTGAAATCTAAACAAGATTGTAGTAAAAGGCGATCTATTCACCATGTCACGTAATGAGGTTACAGTTTATTGGTTCTTGGAGTATATCAACAGATACATTGACTTTCAAAAAATTATATACAAAATAAGTAATGGTTCAGGGCTCGAATTTAAAATGAACATAGTGTGCATAAATGCTAAATACCTTAAACAATGATAGAATATCGGTAGAGGGTTGTGGAGATTGTTATGTTTTCGATCAAGATCATGAATCATTTGATGTTAGACTAATATTAGGAACCTTGAAGAAATGGACAGCCGTTTCGTTCCAGTATGGGACTCTTCAGCAGTGCGTATCCATAATCCCGCTGAGGAGTGCTACAGCGGTACGAGACGGACGTCTATTGCTTTCAGGTTTCCAATGGTGGTTTAGCATCAATCGATTCATGACCTCAATATAAATGATGGAAAAGTTGTCTAACATGACTTAACGTCATTCAACACATCCATCTTAAAACCTTAATGTCTTGGATTCAGTTTGTGGTTATACAATAGAACAAATAAATGCTTTATTAGTCATTACGCGTTCTAATCATATTTGGTCTAGGAAATATATGAAGTCCTAATAAGTATGACTCTATTGTCACTGCCATGCTTTTTATGTAGCCGAGACGTTGGTCAATCGACATTGGCTAGATTTTCTATTGGTTCAATTATATTGAAATACTTAAAAGGTAAATACTTTCTCTCTATTACCTGCAAATCGTATGCATAATTGGCTTGGAATAACCTATCTAATCCAAATAATATTGGTTTTCAATAATTGGAGAACATTCAATCAATAAATATTGTATGAGCATTGGTTTGTGCACACACTTACCTACATTTACTTAACACTTAAGCACCCACCCTCCATTCTTTAGCCTCTATGTGTCTAATTCATTAGAACCAATCCACTAATACTGACCAACGTCATGAAATATCTAGTAGGCTATTGTTCAAGATTCGTTTACTTTAAGAACAACTGTCAGAAATCAATATAAAGCCTACTTTAATCAACCTAGGTAAGAGAGCTTTATAAAAAAGGGGACAAAATACAGTAAAGATTAGTTTCATTCTGAGATCATGCTTAGTTTATTATTCTCTATTACCCACTGGATTTTATGTCTTGTTTAATTCGTCTGTGTTGACGACATATCTACAATCAATATATGTTCATCTGTACCTGTCTAATATACCCACACACGTATACATCATCTTATCGAATTCACACATACACAAGATGAGTAAACCAGATGATAAAAACCCACCTAGGTCTGCATCCCCTAAGCCTGCTTCATTGATTAGTTGGCTATCACATGATAGCTCACAGGAAAAAGTAGATGTTGAACCAACAAAGAAAGAATTACCAAAAGAACCTGTTAAAGAGGTTCCAAAAAAGAAAACTGGTAAGTTGACTTAGTATGTTTTTTCCACCTAATTCCTTATTTAATTGAATGATGTACAAACGGTAGAGAATTTGAGATCGATCGCAAAATCTAAATGAAAATGATCGTTTTCAGTGGATCGTATCGGTACCGTAAGGTACTTTGAATATGCTAGGACCTAGGTTTTTTCTTTGACGGAAGTAAAAATTTAGAATAAAACTTGGAAATTTGAGCACTCAGTGATTTACTAGAAATAGACTTTTATTGAACTACACAATGTTAAGTTATCTAACACTTTATACATTGCTACCTTGTGTAGTGTATGATGAATCACTCAACATTAGTCACCCGTCATTCAAGTTATTTATTGGAAACATTTGGATAAAATTCAGTGCTCATCTAATATAGTTATATTTGAAAGATACATTCATAGCAAATATTATCATTGGTGAATTGTTTTGTTTTTTATCACTAACATACCTTAATTTATAGTAAATTTTAGTTCTGTTAGTGTATACAAACATTATCTTTTCATATTGCTTTGATTAGTTTCAAATCCATCATACAGTTTCCTCCATTATACGATTCCGCTGTTTCCGGTGCTTGTGGTACCTGAAATCAGCAAAGGATGGAAATTATGGTTTCAAATAAATTGAGTAATAAGTATAAAGTTAATAATATATATATATATATATATATATATATATAATTAAAGTATGGGAATATTGAGTGAGGCTGGCACTGGATAAATCCCGTACATTCCACGTCAGTTTGAAAATTTTCAAGTTAAATTCTATGTCTCATACCAAAGTCAGGGAGCTGCAATTGGTAAGTATAGCCTAAAGCTACGTTTTGCACAGCGATAATACGCATAATGTGTTGGTGAGAGGTTAGGGAACGAAAAAGGACGTGAGAAAGAGTTACTCGACTCACTAAGCATAAATGATACACTTACTGCATGTCAGTAGTTTTCAACACCATCTCAAGAAACCAATCTATTAACCTGGTGCGATCAAAATGAACTTAGATGGCTGAATAATTTATCTACGTATCAAAGAACAAACCAAGCAATGACTCAAAGTATAAATGAAATAGAGAATCATTTAGAAACTTACTGATGATACTAAAAAAACAGTATTGTTTTGCAAATCGCCTGAAGTTGAGAATATAAACCAGTGGTTTAGTACTCAATAGCAAAAATAATACTTAAAGCTCATTTCTAGGAACTTAATAAATGTTGTCCTGGATGACAA